CAGAGCAGGATGATGCCCTGAGGAGGTGGAAATAGAGCCAGTTTAGGGACCTGACAAGCACAGCTGCAGAGGCCAGGGACCACAGAGGAAAGGAGGAGGAGAAAGGGGAAGCATCCGTGCAATAAAATACAATTAGTGTCAGTGAGTTAATCCCACACATGCACAGACACAAGGCAGGCTGCTCTTCTTCCAACATCTCTTCATGTTTTTCCTTTGGGCTTCCAGCTCACTTAAACCAGATTCCACCTGGATAAAAATATTGGGAAATTGCGGGAGGGTCTTTTTCTTCTCTCTCCAGTATTGTAATTTTTCCCAAGACACCACCTTCCAACATGAATGACCTTCATATTGTTTTCAGTGCATCTTTTTCCTCTATTCTCTCCTGCAGCCCTATCTTAAAAAAATAAAAATAAAAAATAAAAGGAAGAAACAAAGAAAAAGTTTCTACTGGACTATAAAAGTATGGCACGAACATTTTTACTTTTATCTTAAGAAGAGATGCAAAGAAAAATCCTTCCACTGAGTCCATTTTTGGACCTCTTTGAACTCCTTCTGAAAAATGTGGCTCCATTGGAAGCGTCACCCCAAACCCTGAGAATGCTACAGGCTAGCAGTTCCTGGGCAAGGACAGTGCCAAAGTCCATGCCCAATATTCAGAAGAAGCCATCAGTTTCTAACTGAATTTTTTTTCCTTTGTATATTTTTTGAAGTCAAAATCTTGAATAGGGGTGGAAAGTGAAAGTATAAGTTCATAGTTTTTCACAAAAACACAGTTATGTGAGCAATATTTCTCATGGAAAGTGATATTGCCAGATTTCCTGTTAGGTTGCTGTACGCATTGAGAAGTCATCAAGAGGGGCTGGGGTTGTAGTTCAGTGGTGGAGCACTTGCCTAGCATGTGTGAGGCACTGGGTTCGATCCTCAGCACCACATAAAAATAAATAAATCAAAGGTATTGTGTCCATCTACAACTAAAAAAATATTTATTAAAAAAGAAGACAGCAAGAGCTGTTAATATAGTTAAGGATCATCTACTCCATATAGAATAGAAAAAAAATGTAGACTCAAAAAACTGTAAAGGTTAGGTGGGTTACATCATCAACATGTGGAAGAGGTGGGACTGGAATCCAAATCGTGTGACTTATAGAAGTGACCATTATGCGGTGTGCAACTAAAGGATTTAAAAATTATTTAAATACATACAGTCTCATCCACCGCTGAAAGTAAAGTATTTGGATAAGAATTTTGGTCTTGGGGCTGGGATTATGGCTCAGCAGTAGAGCGCTCACCTAGCACAGGCAGGACCAGGGTTCGATTCTCAGCACTACATAAACATAAAGGCATTGTGTTGTGTCATCTACAAAAAAAAAAAAAAAAAAATCTCTCTCTTTTCCCTCAAAAAAAAAAAAAAAAAAAAAAAAGAATTTTAGTCTTGAAGAAAGGATAGGTAAGAAGATAGAAGTCCTAGAATGAGACACATTTTGTCTGTGAAGGTTCTGTGATTAATGACAAAAATAAAATGATTTTTTAAAACAACTATACTTGAATAAGCCATGGTAAGTTTAGATGAGAAATGAGAAGTATCAGATTTAAGAAGGAAAAAATAATACTAATACTGTATATGGATCTAGCACCACGAGCCTTGTTAGTAATGAATTTCTTTCATTATATTTGCATAATTGTCTATATTCTACTGACCCTAAAATTTACTTTTTTTTTCCTTTTGAAGTCAAAATCTCAAACAATTGGTAAAAGTGGAAGGATAAAGAAGATACTGAAGCTAATGTGTTCACACTTGCTATTTCATTCCCTGTTCATCATAGAGACCTGGCTGGGATAATTCTGTTTTGTAAATATTTATTTATAGGTGGACATAATACCTTTATGTATTTTTTTTTAATGTAGTGCTGAGGATCGAACCCAGTACCTCACACATGCTAGGTGAGTACTCTACCTCTGTGCCACAACCCCAGCCCTGGGCTAATTCTATTTTTACAAAAGAGGAAACTGAGCCTTGGAAATATCAAATGATTAAAGTTCCATGACCTAGCAGTTGTAGAACTGAGATTTAGTTATAGATCTGTTCAATGCCAAAGCCAAAGATAAATGTGAGCAAATAAAAAATAAAATCTTTAGAGCTCAATTGTTCATATCCCTGGTTGTGTAATATGAATCGTAATATATTCCGCTGTCATATGTTAAAAATTAATTAATTAAAAATTGATTAATTAAAAAGAATTAGTATACAGGGCTAGGGCTGTAGCTCAGTGGCAGGGCACTTGCCTAGCATGTGTGAGGCACTGGGTTTGATCCTCAGCACCACATGAAAATAAACAAATAAAATAAAGGCATGCTGTCCATCTACAACTACAAAAAAAAAAAAAATAGTTTACAATAAATGTCAAAAATCCTATTGCCACTCAGAATTTTTATGCCTACTAATAGCTCAACTTTTTTAAATCTTATTTTGTTTAATATTAGTCTCTAAGGAATGAAAGGTCTTATTTTGTTTAAATAGGTCTTATTTTGTTTAATATTAGTCTCTAAGGAATGAAATCTACCAGATTACAGTATATCTATGTAAGAATATACCACAATGTATATAATTAGAATGCACTAAATAATGATAATGATAATACTAATAATCATAAGAAAAGGGAGATCAGTTGAGTAGAGCAAGTAGAACAGGGAAAGGAAGGGAGTAGGGAAAGGAAAAATAAGATATTAGGGAATGAGATTGATCAAATGATGCGCGTATATGAATGTGGCATAATGAATCCCGCTATGTATAATTATGAGGCACCAATAAAAATAACCATATTGTAAGAAACCAAAAGAATAAATAAAAATAAAATCTTTAAAATAAACATTTTATTACTAAAATCCTTCACCAAAATGAGAATGAGATCTTAAGTTTGGGATCTGGTATAGTAGCATTATTAGAGCTCCAAGATTTAAAGATACCATTCTCAAAGTATTTACCTTCTTTAAGCCAATTTTTAAAATAAAATATTTGAGAAAGATAGAAGGAAATAAGTAAAATAAAGCACACATCCATTTTTACATCACCCAACCAAAGAAATAAAACATTGAACTCAATGGCTCACATGTGTGCTCCCCTTGGTCCTTTCCTTTTCTTTCCTTTTCTTCCCAGAGTAATCACTAATCTAAATTTGATACCCAAAATACCTTTGTTTTTACTCCTGAAATTATTGAGAGTTTGAAAAAAATTAACATTTCTATCCTACATTGGGCAATAATTAATCCTGAACTAAGTTAATATAATCTTTTAAACATAAACTGAATTTCCAGTCACACCTTATTTAATAAATATTGATATTTATCGAGTCCCTAGTCTATGCAAGGCTTTCAATATAATTCTATATTTAAATTGGGGGGGTAACATGTTAATAAGTTAAACAAGGTGGAGAACTGTGTGTTTTTCCAGCCCTATGTGCTAAAGTTGAATTATTCTTGTAAAAAAAATGGGAAAGGAGAGTTATATATTCACATAGAAGAAAGGGGATCAGAAAACACCCACAGAGACCTGAGTTCCAGGCTTTCCCCCTGCCCCTTGCTTCTGGGAAATAAAGAGAGAATCTGCCATCCTGTGGAAACTCTTCTCAGGAAATAGGTGTAGCTAGTCCCAGTCAGCTCCTGTGGAATAATTTCCTTTATGAACTCATTCCTAAAAGCAACTTTGGAGAAACGGAGAGGGGATTTTTTTGTTTGTTTTTTCAGGAATAGTGCCTTAATTTCCAACAAATCTGAAGCTGTGTGTACAGTTTTGTTTAACATCAACTTACAAGGTTTGATTAGTGGGCATGCCATTGTCTACGAATTCTGTTCTCTATTGGCCACTACTACTACTAAGACGGGATAGAGCCATCCTTTTGGGTCTCTGGATCTCTTTCCCCTGCTAGAAAATGAGGCACTTGTTCTAGAAGGCTGCCATCTCAGTCCACATTTTTAAATTCATAAGTTACATATGCCAGAGTACTAATTAGAGAAATTTTCGAGAGTTGGAAGGACTGGGACGTTCACTTCATAAATGCCTACTAAAAGTGGATGATTTGCAAATGTTATCTAATTTGCTCTTTAAAACTCTAGAGGTATTTTACAGTTAAAGATCCTGAGATTTAGTAATTAGGTTAATTTACTAAGGGCATACTGTTAGTTCACCGCAACCTGGTGGGCCAGAACTGATTCTTCTGCCCTTTCAAGTTCAGATTTTTTTGCAGTGATCATGCCAAATCCTTCCAGATACAAAGCAGAGAGAGGAAGCGTGCATTTCATATATATATATCATGTGCCCGAAACCATCTATATCTCATTTAATGCTCAAAACAACTTTATAAAGTATTACTATTTACTTTGGTTTATAGACAGAATTGAAGTACATAGAATTAATTTAATATTAATGTCTTCAAATCCATGAAAACAAAGTGAATAGGAGAGCTAACAGTTGATCCCAAATCAGTCCAATTCCATAATATGCTTCAGAAATAGAAATAAATGCATTTTAATTTTATTACTTGTTTTATTCTGTAGCAAATGTGTGTGTGCCTCTGACCTTGGATGTATGCATGCCATTAAAAGGGCATGGATATGAAGTTAGGCTAGCAATGGAATGACTGATTACATCCCTGATTTGATTCAAGACTGAACAAAGGTTAAATTAATAGGCATCAATAATAGAATCTAAATACTAGCAAGTTTCTGAGTCTGTCTTTGTAGGATTACAACTTAAAATTAACTTCACATAGGATATTGCTATGATTCCTGAGGAAATGAGAGGTCTTTAACAGGAATTTAGCCTGTGCCTGACATAGACTTAGAAATCATATACTATAGCTTGGAATCATTGCATGTTCCAATCAATACAGTCTATTGGTGATACGTGCTCACTCACAAGCTGTTTGTGGTTAATTTAAAAAAAAAGACTCTTTTTTCCCCCAATATTGTTATTTTTAAATGTCAAGAATCAGATGTCTGCTGTTTAGAACTATTGTACGGCTGCCAGTGACTGTCTGTATTAGGGTTTGGAGCAGGAACATGGATTTGAAGACATTAAAACTGTTTAATTCTCAGTTGAGATGTGGCTGGCTTTTATACATTTGGAATAAAGCATTTATGGCACATCTCAGGGTAAGTGCTAATAGCTAAGTAAATAAAATAGGTGGGGGGTGGGTGTTGTTGTTTTGCTTTTGCTTTTAAAAAGCAGAATTCTTGGTTCTGTTTATGCCTCTTTATAGAAATGTTGTGTCTTGAGTGACTGGCATATAAAGCCATTCAAAAAAGCAAGATTTTAGATTTCCAACTGTTAACCTAAAAGAAAAAAAAATCCCTTCAAATCGTGTATTTTGCATTCATCCAGCAGCAGACACAGGAACAGGGAAGCCAAACGCTCTCCTCCCGGTAGAAGTAGGGAGAGAGACACACAGAGAGGGAGCGAGAGAGAGCAAGACAGACCGAGAAAGACAGTACTCTCAGAGATGAAATTTTAAGAGAGCAAAATGATCGACCTTTTTAAGGCTGAGTGGGTTTCTTCAGTTTGTGTGCAAGTTTCAAGAAATGGAAGGACTGACCAGGTTTGGGTATAACTCTTTTATTACTTTCTATTTGATAAGTATATGTTGTTGGTTTGGGTGGGGGATTTTTTTGCAGAGGTGGGCTATAGTTTTTGTTATTGTTATTTTCTTTCTTCTCTAAATAATGGCTAGTAAGACTGAAAGAGCTAGCAAACTAATGTCTGTACAGATGGTAGGAAAACAGGTGGAGACATCAGATACCTACAAATCTGTGTCTCCACAGAGGCTTCATAAAATTATTAATTGACATGATCCAGAGTATTATGTGCTGTTAGAGGACATTATGTGGCTAATGATTGAAATGTGATCGGTTGTTTGCCTGCACAAGAATCCTGAATATTTACTGTTCCTTTGCAAAAATTTCTGGGTGATTGGTTTTGTGAGGTTTAGTGTTCTGTTTTTTTCATTTTTTTTCTGTTGTTGTTATTTAAAAAATTTCCCAAAAAGATTACTTCAGAAGTATTCATAGCAAGCATGTACCTAAGGTTTTTCTTTTTTTATGCAGGTACAATTATTTTCCAAATCTGTTCCAAGATTATTTCCATCTTTGCCCAGTAAGAGTTTCTATTCTCTGACTAAGCTTCTCTTTCTACTGTCTTAGAATAATTTTAAATATACTAATTAATGTTAAACAATTTATATGAAATTTAAGAAAGTGTTCATATTGCTAATGACTTTGACTACTGCAATATTTCCTTGCTGCTTTTGTCTAAAATTTCATCAGTAATATTAATTGATGATTTTCTTTATTTTTAGTTTAAATTGCCTTAATGGTCCAGCAAATGAATGCCAAGTCTCCTTAAATATATTTTCTATTTGGTTTGTACAGTCTTCTATTTTTTCACTGATCTTAGTAGAGATGCCTGTTCATTGATAGAATGATGAGGTTACTCCTGCCTGGTGCTAACTTTGAATGTGAAATCAGCTACAGAATGCTGTTAATTTATTCTCTCTCTCTCTCTCTCTCTCTCTCTCTCTCTCTCTCTCTCTCTCTTTCTCTCTCTCTCTCTCAGATTCTCCATAATTGATACTATTGCCCATATCCAATCCAATCAATAGGGGAAAAAAGACTATTGGGAAAACATTCTGAGTAATTGGGAGTCCAGAAAAACTTAGAAGTGATAAAGGAAAGACAAAAACTTAATAAGAAAGCCTTCTTGGAAGTTGTTAAAGAAGCAGTCTTATTCTTGATCAGTAATTTCATTGTTCTAAAGACATTTTCAGGAGTATCGAAAGCATTCAGTTAGCTATAGCCAGAGGCTTCTGAATATAATATACACCTACTTATCTCACAGAATTTCAATCTAATAATTGAAGATATAATATTAGTTAGTAAAGAGTAAAAAAGAAAAGCTAGCTTTGGGTATCTTAGTAACAGTGGACTTTATTTCCCCTTCCTCCAGTCTCCTTAGAGAATTGCAAATTAAAGACAGTAACTCAAGGCAATCCTTCATCATTCTCTAATAGAAGGATTAATTCCATAATCTCTAGCCATTTGAGATCATGGCATTATAAAATTTTACACAGTGGTTTGTGAATGGTAGAAGACATGAGTCTTGTTTCAGTTTCTGTAGAGACTGCTAAGAATACACGTAATATTGCCAAGCTGACTTAGATTTGCAATTAGATTGTGGTTTTCACCATTTTGATTTTTGAATCAAAGACAATAATCTCTTTGAGTGGATTATTGTGAATTTAGAGTTCGGTGGAATAAAGCTTTCACTTAATTAAACTCAGTATCACTTTTCTTATCTTAGAATAACATTCAGGAGTCCGTGACCATACACTTTATTGATGCCAGGTTGAATCATGTGGAAATGCCATCTGTGTAGGTCTAAAAAACTGAAATCTGAAATTTCATATGGTTCAAATATAGTGCCTGGTAATTGACATTTTCTGTCATTGGCCAGGGAAGTTTAATGAAGGAAAAAAAATCTGTTTTTTTCAGGTAAGACTAGGTTACTATTAATAAAATCCATCAAGTTATGTGACTTCACTATGATTTGTATTACTCATCTGAAAATTGGGACCCATACTTTTACTCTGAGGTAAAAACGTATGCATATGTGACTTTACTTCTGGAGCTCATTTATTGCTTCTCAAGACCATCTTGCTGGCCCCCCACCAGTGGGCTAGTGACTGGCTGCCATTTGGAACACATTTTAGTAAATGTATATTTAAGTGTCTTTCTAAATTCTTAGACTAAAACCAGAGTAGAGAAGTGCATTCATTTTTTTTTCAATGAATGATTCCCAGTTGGAATGATTTCCATGCTAGTTGATTCTCCAACGGAGTCCACTCTGTAAATGAAGGTTAATGACATATTATTATTTAATTATTATTATGTATTATTTAATTATTATTATGCAATTGACAGAGTTTAGTGAAGGAGCAAATGTAGTGTGAGGAAAGGCAGATCATCAATTCCTCCTGTTATTTTTGATTGACAGTTTATTTCTACTGTTCTTAATTCTATTATGAATTAGAGAACACACACATGAAAAAGGAAAGACCTCTTCTGACTCTCTGATCTTAACTGTAAAAAAAAAAAGAGAGAGACCATCATTTAAAACTTCTGGGTTTTTTTAAATTTACTGAAGTTTAACAATATGCCCTCTTTTGTTTTCATTTCCAAGATGAAGGAACTTCTAACTATGTTTGTAAATTGAGTTTTCTACAGAAGTTTAAAGTCTTTCCCTTCATGTATATTAGGTCACTGTTCTGTGTCAACTGTTTGTACTCATTGTCCTCACAGAATTAGGAAACTTTCCACAAAAATCAGGCTCCTGACACGAGGTCAGTTTGTCAGGGACTGACATGCCTCAGCCCCCAACACACCAGACCTTTCCTTTCTGATGAATACCTTTGAGAGTGCTCATATGTCATACTTACAGTTGCACATGGAAAAATCAATTGTCTAGTTTCCATATAACACAATCTGTCGTATGATAGACACCTGTTTATTAAAGGAACCATTTCCCTTTTCTCTTAAACATTCCTCAACAAGAGGTGTGCTCCCTCTTTCTGCTCCTAGCACAATACTGGGTACCATGAAGAGCTAAAGGAATGCTAATCTCTCCACTTACGTTGGCCCTGTCCACTACTATCCACTACCGCAGTTCAGATAGTTAAGATAAAGGCCTTCTTGTTTTTCCAATTTGTTCAGGACTCTTCAAATATGCATTACCTACAACCGAAAATGAAATGTTACTATGAAAGTCTAAAAAAAAATAATCAGGCTCCTGATATCAAAGAACCATCTATGACGCATAATAATATGGAGCTGAGGGTCACATGTACGCATGTGCACAGGTCTATGCACATATGCCCTATGTGTGCATAGGTGTGCCTGCAGCCATACTTCTAAAATACACATTGATACACTTGATGAAATCAGACCCACTTTAATAAATTCCATAAAGTTCAAGGAAGAGGAATAATTATGAAATGGGCAAAAAGATTTTTCATAGATCCCAGTAGAAAATTCATTACCCCGCTTTTCCATTGATTATATTGAACTTCATCTCAGACCATTAGTGTAGAATAGCCTGGGGTGTCCTGTTTCCCTGGGGTGAGGAAAAAGCAGGTTTTAGTCCCTTAAATACAAAGAGACCCTCAATAACCATGAAAGAAAATGATTTCTGCTCCTCATTCTTTTGAAAACCGCTATTAAATATATACCAAGAAGCTTTGAAGACTGGGTTTTGCTTTTTTTATTTTTTTCAAAAATGACTTTTTTTTTTTTTTTTAGAATAACAAAACCTTCTCATTGGAAGGTCATCTTGTTACACCTTTCCAATTACAATCTTCTCCCTGCAGCGTGAACACTGTGTTTCCCTGCTTATTTATTTTTACTTTCATAATCACCTTATCAAAGAAACCTTTGAAATTATTTAGTTCTATCTACTCATTTTTAAATGAGAAAAGTAAGCTGTAAGGAAATACCTTGACAAGATCAGTAATCTCAGTAGAGACCAGCGCTGCAGGCACACTGCCTGACTATCAAGGCTGTTCTGTCCCCTCGTGTTTTACACACTCTGCAAAAACCTTTGGGCGCTCTTCAAAAACCAGCTCATCCATTCTGACTATGTTCTTTCAAGGCAGTGAGATCAGGGTACAAGGAGGCAAAGGGAGAAAAGAATTGATCTGAGAGGTTTAAAGCCTGTTAGTGGCTTTAAAGGCTCATGATAAAGGAAGACAATTGTTATCTAGATAATTATCTGCAATTTGTAATTCTGTAATCAAAAAGAGTATGGTACATTTTTAACTTCTAGAAAGAAAGAAATGGATGTTTCTCTGTTATCGATTAGTCCTTTCTACATCCTAATGGTTTCATTATGAGTAAATCATGTTCCAAAAGAGGACAAATGAAGCAGAATAGACTCACATTTGGAGATGTAATCTTTAGTTTGTACACTTAGAGCCCAGGTCTAGGTTTTGAAGAGAACACCCTTCTCTCCAGCACCTTCCTCTCTCTTGGCTGTCAGCATCCCTCACCTCACTTTCCTAGGACAAAAGTGAACTTGACTGTAACTGTATTTCCAAGGGAACATATAT